CAACACTGTACAACAAAACAGCAACAACATCAATCCACTGACGAAGAACAAATTAAAATATACCAAGCAAGAAAAACTTGTGTTTTCCAGTCTAGTGTTTAAGGCAAGTTCTATTGGCAATGGCATAATAGGAATGATAGAAGGAGGATGTTAATATATGTTATGGTTCTTAAAAGAAACTTTGGAGGTGCAATAGTTAGGTGCATGGATGTTTACTGAAAGGTTGTCAGTTCAAATCCAGAAGCTGCTCTGAGAGAGACTTGGCAATTTTCTCATTTAAAGATTAAACTTGAGGAAACCCTAAGGAAGAGCTCTATTCTGTCTGTTAGAATCTGTATGAGTTGGAGACAACTTGATGGAACATAATAATAAACAAAAGAGTTCTTAATTTTTGGTTGGGAGAGATCATACCCTGAGCTCCAGGCCATGTTGGGGAACCAAACTTTATGAGCAGTAACCAGGGGAATATAATCTCTGAAATAGCTAGAAATTTCTTAAAGGCTTGAACTTTCCACATATATACTTTCCTGCAGGCTTAGGCATCAAATAATTTTCTTTAAACACATTTGGATGCTAAAGAAAAATGTAACCCCAATTGTAGAGATCTTGAGGAAATAAAGACTATGCCTCTCCAGGTTGTAAAAGAGAGTCAAGTATAAGATTCATTTGGGCAATGAGTGAGTGACAGAATGATGGGAATACTATGACTAATTAACACATCCATGGAGAGATACATCCCAATTTCATAAATGTTATGATCAAAGAAAGACCTTTAAAGCCTAAGAATAGAATAATTAAGAGTCACCGTTCATTAAACTAGTGACCTTCTTTTTTTAAATCATTTTTTTTTGGCGGGGCTCATACAATTCTTACCACAATCCATACTTGCATCCATTGTGTCAAGCACATTTGTACATATGTTGCCATCATCATTCTCAAAGCATTTGTTTTCCACTTAAGTCCTTGCCAACAGCTCCTAATTTTTCCCCTCCTGCCCAACCCCCCCCCAACGCTTGATAACTTATAAATTACTGTTATTTCCTTTTTTCATTCTAAGTTTTTAGAATGTAGCAGAGTTTTCAATACAGATGAGGCTGTGCTTTGCTTCCAAGGAGTTATATTCAAGGGAGAATGACAGATAAGTTGCAAAATAATAAATTAATGCATCATTTTAAAATAGAAGTATACCCAATTGAAAAAACCAAGATGAAAAATTAAAGGGCCATCGCTTAGGGAGGAAACCATGGCACAGAGGACAGTAAGTGTCAAGACTCTGGGCTGGAACCACTTCATGGGAAATGCGGGCGGACGTGGGGCCAGTGCGGCTAGAGTAGACAACATCTGGGGAAGAGTGAGCAAGGGCAACGGGATCAGCTCCTGTGGACGCGGATCAATTAAACCTCAGTCCTGGAGGAGTAAACTGAAGCCCAGGGAGAGAACATGATTTGACCAAAAACCATAGCAAGAAAGTTATGTGTGTGGACAGAGAATAAACTCTGAGAACCCAGGTCAGTGCTTCCAAAAACCATGCATCTTCAGTTGATTCCTATACATGTGAAGATTGGATATTGAATAAGAGTTAATACATTTGAATTATGGTGTTGGCAAAGATTATTGAAAGCGTTAGGGACTTCAAGAATAACAAATCTTTCTTGGATAAAGTACAGCCAGAATGCTCCTGAAATATGAGCAAGGCGAGACTTGATCCTATGTACTTTGGACATGTTATCAAGAGGGACCAAATAAACCCATACCAAACACTGCCATGAAGTCAATTCTGACGCACACCCACCCTAAAGGACAGGGTAGAGCTGACCTTTGTGAGTTCCCAAGACTTAACCCTTTAGGGGAATCAAAAGCCCAGTCTTTCTCCCTCAGAGCTGGCTGGTGGTTTCAAACAGCTGACCTTGCAGTGAGCAGTCCAACTTGGAACCACTACACCACCAGGGCAGTTGTGGCAAGAGAGCATCAGGATTGGTTAAGTAAAAGGCAGTGGGAAAAAAGGGAGACCCTTAGGAAGATGCATTGACATAGTGGTTTTAACTAAGGTTCACTGTGTGCCAGAATTGATTCATTGGTACCTAGTGACCACATAGTTGCAAAAAAATATTAATAATAATTGAGAAAACACTAGGTAAATGCCTATTCTGTGACCAACTATGGAAATTGTGTGCTGGACAGTGAGTGTAAATGTTTAGCATCATGAAATTGCATTACAGAAACTAGAACAAAGAGCAAAATTAACTTAAAACTAACAAAACTTCCCAAACTCATTGCTGGTCAATGAATTCCAAGCATAGTGACGCTATAGGGCAGAGGAGAGAGATCAACTGCCCCTGTGGGTTTCTCAGATTATACATCCTTATGGGAGTAGGAAGTTTCTTCTTTCTCTCATGGAGTGGCTGATGGTTTTGAACCATTGACTCTACAGTTAGCAGCCCAAAGTGTAACCATGATGGCTTCCCCTAGGGCTTCACAAAGAGCAACGTGGTGTGACGAATGATAAGACCACAACACATAGCAAATGCTGCTCTTCCAAATGAGGCATGATAATCTGTGAGCTGACTCAGGAAAACGAATCCAAACTAGGAAAGAAGTTCCAGAAATAAGGAACAGTAGGTGCAAAGCAAGGATGCTTTAAAACAATGAAAGTATGCATTTGAAACTCCAGATAAATTACTTAACCTGGAATTTAGGGTGTACTTGGCAGTTATCATGAAGAGATGAAATTGAAGAGAAACCAAGCCTGGGATTTCTAGCTCTTATACATTATTAGCCTATATGGGATCTATTTTATCCTTAAAGCAGTATGCAGTTTATGAGGAAAGCACATGGTAATATTTCTATTTTAGAAAGATTGCATGACTTCAGTGTAGAGGATGTATTGTGCAATGGAATTGACATCTTTTTTCAATAAAGACTTGGTA